CACATGTACCTGTTTCCCTGTTGTACACAGTGGAGATTTTCTTTCACTTGCCAGAACAGTAGTATGATGCACCAGTCATGGTAACCACCTTAATGCTCAGCTAGCTGTCATGGAAGCTCAGGCCTTGTAAAGAGGGGAATTGGGTGTAGAGTTTATAAAAAAAAATGCCAAAATATTTTCTGCTAAAACTTATTGTCATTGTGAAAAGCATTCCATTGATACTAATTTAGTTGGTATCAGTGGTGTTCAGCTGTTTTTTAGAATTATCGCATAATCTTTGATACTGCTGTTATTTTGAAATCTATGGTTACCTCTGCAGCAATGTAATTTTGAGTTTTAATGGCCAGAAAAAAAAACAAAAAAAAAACTGTATAATCATTACCAAGGAGTTACAAGTTTTAGTTACAATAGACTTGACATAGCAATTGCTCTTCTTCTTATTATTATTATTAATTGTATTAATCACTACCATGCAGATGACAGGAACTTTGTGTCATGAAAAAAATTGCTGGGAGAGGTGGGTGACATGGGAAAATTTGGCTGTTTCTTCCATTTTCAGTTGAGGTTAAAGTCTGGGTTAGAAAAAAACAAAGGCTTCAGCCATAACAGCCATTGAGGATGGATTGCAAATGTCATCTTGTGTTTAACCCATTGCCGACGGGCATGCCATGCCATGCCCACTGTGAGATTACTTGTTGGATTGTTTTTACACATAGTTGGCTACACTTGTACTAAATCACCAATGAGCCAGTTACGAGTACCGCCTGTCTCGCCCGTTCACTCTTTTCTTTGATTTACAAAATATTTTAAGTTATCTTATTTTGCTGTTACTAATGTTAAAAAACATTATAAAAATTATAATGTTTATAATAAAGATAACACCATCGATATTCATTGCACTAGTGAAAAATGCGTTTTTCCCGCCACTTCAAATCAGGCACTAACAGACCCATCTATGGGTAGACATTCCACAAAAAAAAATATAGAAAATAGGTACAGCATTTTCCCCATTTTATTGTTCATTTTTCCCCGGCGGCAGTGGGTTAACATATCTCGAAAGATTTCAGACACAGAGGGATTTAAGGGCAGGTTCAACCCTGAAATTTGAGCAAAGTTTTATGTTTTTTTTATTTTTGGATTTAAGTGTTATAAATGATTTCAAAACATGCTCTTTCCAATTATATATTTATATGTTACTTATCTTCTAAGCTATTTGACAAAATTGAGCATTTAGAATGGTCACCTTGCAAATTTGAACGAGAAATGAAAAATGAGACTTTTTTAGGCCCTAACAACATGCACCTTCCTGATTGCAACCTTGAAATGTTTGGCATCATTTGAAAGATCAAAGTCTGATCTGTCGAAAGAACCCAAAATACTTTGTGTAGCACTATCCTTTCACGCATGAAAAGCCCATGCAATTGGCTTGTTTTTCTTGTCAACCGTCGATAATGAGATGCACATTGCTACTATTGGTCAATGATGGTATGTAAGCAAAGATATCATGTCTTGATCAGCTTGGCATTACTGGAGGACATTACACAAGACTGTATTTGCTGCAAAGTGACAGAAAAAGGACCAGGCAGTGATTCACAACAGAAACTGAGAAAGCAAAACAGTGCAAACGGCAAGAAAGAGCTTTCATCACCCAACACAGCAAGGACTATGCACCTGGTATCTGTGCAGATGATGACTGAAAGTGTTTTTTTGCTATTATTTTATATCTATGATGGCAATGATTAAAGAATTCTTGTATTTATCTCTCAAATATTTATGTTTTACCCTTGAAAATGGCAAGTAAATCTTTGTTTGCTTTTTTCTCGAAACATGATTTTTTGACTACTGTGCTACATATAGTTTGAAACAACTCAAAAAGTACATAACCTAGAGCCTTGAAATTTTCACAATGTAATCCTCACATTGTTTTTGCAAATCTGAACTATAGATAGCTTTGTATGTTACAGGGCTTCAAAATTATGGTTAATTTTGTAAGCAGTTTGCCGCGAAAATTTGCTTGACGGCACAAAAAAAATTACTAAAAAAAAAAATAATATTTTGATATCATTCTAGTTCAGATTCTTGCTAAACATGTCTTAACTGCACTTGCAAAGTCTCAAGTCTCCAGCTATTACCAGTTTCTTGTTTCACACTTTGCCTTGGTCAAATAATGAGCATCTATCATCTTTTATCACGTGACCAATTAACTTAATTTGCATAATTAATTAATTTTCTAACACTTGATAGTCATGTGTTCCATTAGTAAAAATAATTTTTTGAATACCGCTAAAAATGTGGATTTGCCCTTAATGGAGCTAAATTATCCTTTTTATACTAATCACTTGCCAACTAGGTCCACCATTCCCCAGTCCCCTTCCCCTCTACTTTCCCCATCTCCCCATTTTCTTCTATATTGTCTTCCACAACCAGTTAATCTTTCCCTTGAGTACTGCAGTTGTTTTTGGAGCCCTTTTCAACTGTGGTAGATGGGAGTGTCTATTGT